CCGCGTGCGTTGTTGTCATATATGGCATAGTCAAACATACAACAAATTAACACACAGCGTATACGCGATTCACACGTGCTTTCCAAGCAAACCGCACATGTGCCTGCGTGTACGTACTGCATGTAGACGCGCGTAACACACGCGTACGACTTTACATGATACGTACGCAATTATCCCTCCTTTTCATCCTCCTCCTCCTCCTCTCCCTCCCCTCAACCACCCACATCCTTGCATAACCCCCCGTGCTTGTACAGCGACGAAGAAGCTTGCCTAGCTTAACAATACTCCATTTAAATGCTCCTACCCTCGCGTATAGCTGCACCCTCGAACACACAGCCAACGGGATAATTGTCGTAATGATACGCCAAGATTTGCGGCCTATCGTGCACTTGCGTAATACAGTTGTCAAACGTCGGTAAGCCGCACACCAGGAATAGACACGATGCACACGTAATGCAGTCTGGAAGTTTTGATATGAAAATTTCAACATAGTGCCGGGTGGGGCCCCGATCGATGGAGGAAAAATTCTCTCGAAAGCCATTTGGAGCGTTTATGCGTATTAGCTAGTTTGGCCAGTTGTTGGCTGCCACGCGCGCGCTCGCCCAAGCTCCCTGGATATATTACTCAAGTTGGTGAATTAGAGAAGCCCCAGAGAGGCTCATTGTTATGCGCGTCGCACAACTCTGCCATATACATAGATATATTATGTGGCAAGCGAGGGCGTAAGTGGGAAATTTTGGACAGGCGCGCGCTCGAGTAACCCGTTGCTCTATGCCGCGCGCTATTATATATATTCGTATAACCGATGCTGCTTTCTGCCCTTTTCGCGCGTGCATATCCATACATACAAGGGCTAAGTTATGCCATTTTCATTCATCGGAATTAGAAAGGCGTCGAGGCTAAAACGGCGCTGGCGAATAGCATTAAGGCCACATAGAGGCCTAATATAAGAGAATATTCAAATTCAATGGACCGAGGCCGAAATAACACGGACTATCAAAACGGATAAAGATCAAAGCTACGATGCACACTCCGGGAGCGCAAACGTCACGAAACCTACGACTAGTCGGAACAAAAGCGAGACTTTTTCTTGCTGGAAATCCTAAAAAAAGAGGATAAAAGGAAAGGAAGAAAGAAAGAAAATACAGGCTTGTTTTTACCTTTCTCCGTTGCTGCTACCGCTGGTGCAAGTAGGAAAAAAGTTACACGTACTCTATATGGAGCCAAGTAGTAGTAGCAGCAGCAACAGTGGAGAAAGAAAGACAGAGAGAGCTTGCGCGCGAAACTTTGCCTCTAGCATCTCTGCTGCTGCTGTTACTTGTACAGCACTATCCCTGCTCCTCGCTCTCTCCACGTGCAAGCGTAGCGTGCAGTTCGTAGTAGCAGTGCATTAGCTTTTTCTCTCTTTCTTTCGGGGTACAAAGCTTTAAAAAGAGAAAGAGAGACAGATAGAGAGAGAGAAAGAGAGAGAAAGAGAGCCCTGAGCGAGAGGGAAAAGTAATACGGGTTTTTCCAAATCGAAGCAGACGCCATGGGGCGCGCGCGAGCGGCAGTAGTATCAAGGTTTTCGCAGCGGCAGCAAAGCGAGCCAGCCATCCAGCTAGCCAGCGGCAAAACAGTGGGTTTGACGCTCGAGCTCGCAAACAGAAGGAGACAGCGCAGTGGCAGCAGTAGCAGCAGAGAAAGAGAGATAGATCGAGAGGGAATGCGAAAAATCAAGAAACGAAGGAACTTAATTGTGTCCTCCCTAGATGCTCTGTGCGAGCACTGAAATGCTCAGACGCATCGCTGAGAGAGAAAGAGAGAGAGAGAGAGAGAGAACGGGAGAGATTCCTCGAATGAATGGCCGTTGATCCGAGCTCGCGCTCTGTGCGCGCAGGCTACTGTCTTTTGTACCGCTGCGCGGCGAGTAAATTAAATAAGTTCATTATTGCGCCATGCCGCTGACACCACTGCTATTTATACTTCTGCCGCTGCCCTCTGTGTTCTATGGTATGTATAATCTATAAGATCGTGTGTGTACGAATTTTAGAATGAAAAGGATGCGATGCAATAATGAAGGAAACGTATCTCAGTCCAAAACAAGAGCTTTTGGAAAGTCGAAAGCAACTCCAAACGTATACTGCATGAGCTCCTAGAGCATACCTCCAATAATACTTGGAATCCTTGCTGCGCGATCGCATACAACTGACATACGAGCCTGGGCGTAATAAAGATTGAGTCACGAGCTCGACGCCTCTATAACGTATAGTTTAAAGAAAAAACTACTTTGATTACGCTCGTTGTTCGCGTTAAGCGCTAAATGTTTCTCTCGTGCGAGCTTCGCTCGGCTTTGCTCCGCTTTTTCCTTATTATGTACACGCGAGATAGTAGTAATAGTATTCTCCGGTGGCTCTCCGTTCAGGTGCAGAGCCTCGACTGTAGCCGTTTATATATAAGCTCGGAATACACAAGGCAGAGCACGTATACGTAATGCATTTTATTAGCTTATTTTATTTAAGGCAAAGTTCAAACGCGAGCAAACAGTTTGCACGCGCTAAAAGATTAACTTGTGCGCGCCCGCCCCCGACTGCGCGCGCGTGCGGATCGAAAGTACAATGGTCGACGCAAAACGTTTACGTATATAAATTAATACGAGCAACGGCGTTAGCGCTTCGCTCGTGAGGTTTGTCACGGACACAGATTTATTTTCGAAATTTGTTTTCTCGCACCCTTGCAAAGCGCCGCATGCAAACTCTGACGCATAACTTCAGTAGAATTCAATCTGTCGTAGGGATGGCTCATGGATCATGTACACCGTAATAATCGTCGAATTTAAGTTAGATAGAGACGGGATGAAGGAGACAAGAACGACTTTCCAACTATCTACGTCCGCGATGCTTTTTATTACGTGTATCCGGCAACGAAATCCAATTTTTTACGTAAACCAGCGCAGCGAGAATCGCCCCGGCCAAAGTCAACTGCGCAATTCGCGATCGATCTTTGCCTTTATCCATCCCTTCATCTTCGATGCAGCCGATGGTTCTCGAGTTAACCTCGCGCGACAAACTTTTCCTCTGCATCGCATTCGTAGTACCTTTCCCCCGTCTAAGCTCGCGGACGAGTATACAGACGTCTGTACAGTGATACTTCTGCCAAGGGATCATTCAATTCTAACTTGAGTCGCTATTCGATCGGTCCGGCTGCGCTACATCTACTATCCTCGACGTTCTTTCTTTTTTTAATTCTCGCCATTGCCCAGCTGCAACTAAAATTCGCATATCGAATCCAGCTTGCATGCTCTCTTCCGTTTTAATCGAAAACCAATGGAACATTAGAAGTGTGCGTCGATCGCTGTTCCATCGCGCCCCGCTGTACGGTCATCCGCAACATCGTAACACGATAAAATTTGTTAATTGATTTTCAGCGATGCTTTTATAATAATGAGATATTCGATGATGCATGTACGTGCGTATAATATGCGTGTCAGTAAAATCGATACCGCGACGGTGCATTCTTCTATACCTGTATACGAAACGAGGTTGCAGTGCTGCAGGCCGTCCACTCTTTGTGAGCACGATCGATGTAACGCGTTCAATGCATTTATTACGGCGTATCATCTCTTCCACGCGATTGTTCGCGGCAGAAAAAAGGCGGAAAAATATGGAGCAAAATAAATTCGTATATGGCCAATCGAGAAATAATCCAGCTTTTGGCGCGAAAACTACGGAAGAACATTTATATTATATATACGAAACGTATCACCGACAATGGGGAAACAAAAAGCTCTCCCTCGCGAGCGAGCGAGCAAGCGAGAATCAAGAGGCAAAAAGACTACTCGCGCGACGGTGGCTCTTATCTAAATACCCGGGGCACAGATAAATTTTATCGATGAGCGTTAAATCGCGTTATAGCCGTCCTTCCACTTTTTTGACTCGAGATCGGCTTTCAACGTGAGCTAGTATACATATACAAGGGAAAGATGCAGCACAGTGGCTCGTGCCAAAAGTAGCGCAAAAAAAATCAATTTATTAACGCACGATCCCGAGCCAGCCGTTGCCTGCTGCTGCTGTTGCTGCTGCTGCACCCGAGCTATGTACGTACTGTGCCTATGTGCGTGAAATTCAGCGCACAAGCGAGCGCAGCAATCTTGTAGTGCGCCGCGCGCGCGTGCCCCGAGTCGAGCCTCCATTACAGCTCCCGAACAGTGACATCAACCTCTGCAAAATCTGCCTGATCCATATTTATGAGCTTTTTGATAAAGACAAATGACTCGTGGATTTAATGTTGTTTGCTTGCTTTGCGTCTAGATATATTATATAAACATTTATGTGCTCTCACTTTAAGCCGAGCAACCCGTTCGAAGATAACTTGGCTACTTGAGCCGCGCCTACACTTGTAAAATTTCGAGTGAGATTATACAAAAATAATTATTTTCTTGTTATTTTTCAAACATTTCTCTAGAAGAAATACTTAATATTTTAGGCTTAGTTTTTTGTTGAATTAAAAAGTTTCTTGGGCATGAAAAAGCCATTAGAACTGGACATATACACTGACATATATATTGACTAAAAGCCTAATGACTATCTTAAACGCAAAATAAAATTTTTGCAAAACTGTGCTTTACAACTATAAAAATTTGTTACTTTCTTTCAAATGTATCGATGAATTTCATTATTATAAGTATTGAAGCTTGAAAAATCAACACTTTTCAATACGAAAGCTTGACCATAGTCCAAGTTTTACGAAACTTACACGACTTTCGAACTTAAAAGGTTTCATCGATGTGATGACGACGATGACGTTAATAGGTTTAAGTTTAAGTTCACATAAAAAGGAATAAATTGCATCGAATGTGGTCGACGTTCTTGCTGACCCCGAGAAACCACATAAAAACTAAAAGTACTCACGAAAAATATATCGACATTCGCCGAGTAAACAAATGCACACGGCGGTATAAAGCAGATTGCAATGTACGCCACAACGTTGCATGATAAATATAGTAGAAAAAAAGAACTTACTTCGGGACTGCCGTTGGCATCGGACTGTAACAAACAGAAAATAAACATTAATCTTATTGAGAGTATCAGATGTATATTGTATATATAGATTACACATGTACAGGAGAACGTACAACAGACGTTCGGTAAAAGCGTATAAATATAAAAGCCACTTCATTTTACAAAGACAGTCACAGGAAATTTTATCGGAGCCATAAATAGAAGTTATGCTCTCGGAGGTACTTGAAAATTTTTAATTTGGAATTCCGAGTGCGTGTGTGTGTACATAAGCGCGCGCAGAACCAATCGAAATAATTGGAGCGATGTAATTTAAACGCGCACTCGCGAAATTGCATTCGTATAATGCAATTGATGGAGATGAGCGATGAGGTAAAAATCATCGGCGGAAACAAAGCGATAAGTGTGCGATGACGATGATGGGCCGTGCGTGTGTTTGACGATTCGGTTGATTCACCGATACCACGAGTGTTAATTTTTTATTTGCTATGTTTTATGTGCTTGCACGGATACAAGCTCGTTACACATCGCCCAGTTTCTACATCGATATAAATTACAATTATTGAAAAGTTTTACGAAACGCATAATTTTTTTTAGTCTAAAATAAATTGACAATGGTATTGAAAGTTCGATTTTAAATAGTCATTATAAAGTCGAGATAAAAGTGAAGCACCAACGAAATATCTCATGCGAATAGCGAGCAGACGCGCAGTCGGTGTATTCGAAAATGCAGAAATTTCGTCCCGCATTCTCGGTCAAAGGGAAAAAACGTCGCCCTTTTTCAACGTGCCCTCTCGAGGTAGCTGCAACGCAATACAATCATTTACCCCTTTCCCCCGAATCTCACCGCTGCGCCGAGGCTCTTTCTCATTTAATTGGAGCGCTTCGTTAATACCACACAGTTCCGGAATGATCGAGTATTTACCGTTTCATTTATTTTAATCCAATTGGAAGTGTACTTCTCTTACGGCCTCGTTATAATACTTTGCTACTGGCGCGCAGCCGAATAGTTGTGCGGTAGCGAGCCGTAAGCTTTTTACCTTTCTCTGTCGCTCTCACTCTAGCCGGTCGCTGCCGTTAATCTCCGCGCTCACTCTGAAATTTTTTTGTCTACACCAAAATAAAACAAAAGAAAAACAATGAAAAAAAGAAAAAACGAGATCTTCGGATGTACTCGGTGCATTAATTGAGACGAGCCAACGGTGAGAACGAGTCAGCATAATATTGAGCCATGTACATCAATTCGTGATCCGACAGAGTAGTCCGACAGTAAAAATGTAAAATCTCATCGGGTTCTTTGATGCATATATTGTATAAAATTTAAGCATATTGAAGTTTTTTTCATTTGTTAAAATTTCGCTCTGAAAGAGTGCATATAATAAGGAACCGTATAATTATGCAAGCCACTCAATAAAAGCGAGAGCTCCCAAAAGCTAGTACATTCAACTTTGCGGTGGTTTGTCTTCCTTGAATAAAAATTCAAGTACTGGAGGAGTTTAAAAACAGCAGAGAAAAAAAGAAATTAAAGGCCCAGACTAAAGATTATGCGTATTACACATAATCGTCTGTATGTATATTTTATGTGTGTGTATATGTGTGTGTTGAAGAGAAAGGGAGAGAGGAGTGCAGAGTGCCGAGTTTGGTAGTACCCTAATACTTTGCGGGGAGAAAGTCCGAGAGTAGAGAACAAGAAAGTTTTCAACTAATATGCTATGAGCCACATATCTCTCCGAAAAAAGAAAACGTCGAAAGAGTATATGCAAAAAAGGGTTAAAATCACGTAAACAGATGGAAAATCCGGAGAAAATAAACAGACAGTAGAAGCGATAAAAAGGGTAAATAAATGTTATGTATCTCATTTTATATACATAAAAAATTTTACAACGGTTCACTTGCGATAATGAAAATGTAAAAAAATCAGTTTGGTTTACTGTTGCACAGACATTTTTTTATATCATACAATTTAACTTTCGACAGACTTTAATCTTAAATCAAAATACAAAAGGTGATCTTTTTTTAAAGCTTACATTCAATACTAGTGTGGAATGAAGTTTCAACAAAAATAGACATCGATATTTCTTACAAGTTGATTTCGTACCAAAAATGTTTGACTTACAAGAAGACCACATAAGATGCGGGTCACCAAATGTCCTGAAAATTTTTTTCTGGTCTCCTGGTATCTAATAATAAAGCCCCCTATGCTTAGTTTGATCCAATGGGCCTTAGAGCCCATTTAAAAAATCATTTTCTAGTTTATTGAAAAATCTTTGTGATTTTCTAACTCGTAATAGGACATATTAAACGGACAATTGCACAATGTACAAGTCTTAAAATTAGTCAAAGAATACATTTGAATTTTTTCAGAATTTTTAAAACCTGCTATCACCTATTTTCAAAGGCCCAAATTTAACGCGTTTTTACTTTTTTCTTAAGAATTTCAGAGACCTTTAAAAATAAGTCATAGTAGGTTTCAAAAATTCTGAAAAAATTCAAATGTATTCTTTGACTTATTTTAAGACTTTTACATTTTGCAATTTTTCGTTTAAGATGTCCTGTTACGGGTTAGAAAATCACAAAGATTTTTCAATAAATTAGAAAATAATTTTTATAGTGGGCCCTAAGGCTCATTGGATGAACCTAAGCATAGTGGGCTTCATTATTAGGTACCAGGAGACCAGAAAAACATTTTCAGGACATTTGGTGACCCGCATCTCATGTGGTCTCCTTGTTAGTTAAAAAAGTTTATTTTTCATAAATTATTTTACTCCTTATTTTAATCAACTTCTCGTATTATCGAGGTAAAAATGCAATTAAGATCTCTGGCCTACGGTCGAGTGAATACACTTAGCTGATCATCACTGAGAGTATAAACCAGAAAAGCTTATGCATCGCACGAAAATTCGTATTATAGATCGAAGAGTGTATGCGCATTATTACTGAACGACGTGCTCGTTCATGTCATGTCTTGCCTTTTTGTTCCCACTTTTTTTCATCTTGACCGGAGGAAGTTTTTCTCTTTTTTTCATTTTATTCTTCCTCCTTGTCTATGTGATGCTTTGATTAAGGGATGGTCGATCAGTTAAAGGATTAAAGGATTTCTCGAGGACTCGTTGGAATATGTAGCTGATCATGCCTGTCTTTTTTCACTCTGAGAGACTTCGGTCACTTTAAAAAATTTTTCTAATAAAATTATTTTTTGCTTAACTTTATTGAAGTTTTTAAGATGATCGTAAATAAATTCTGTATAGTTATTAAAAATTCATATTCAGTAAAAAAAATTGTGAAACGAGAGGCTATCGTAAAAAAGCATAAGACTCATTGAAACGGTTCTTCTGAAGAGTAAACTCAAAAAATCTGAAGAAATTGAGCAAATAAAACACAAAGACTCATTGAGACAATTAAGAAGTCATTTAAGGCTTCTAGGTACGTAAAAGACTCGAGCTTCAAGAAATTGAAAAAATACTGCCTAGGCTTCTTAAATGTGCGTGTGAGCAAGCTTTGCTATATGAAGTACTTGAGTTCTCCTTCAATAAAGGGGTAAATGCTATAACTTATGACAGTACAGAAGCAGTAAACGAAAATCTTCTCCCTTTTAACATAATATTTCTCTTCAAGTTTTTTTACTCCTTCTCCCTTGCTCTCTCTCTCTCTTTCTTTCTCTTGGAAGTTGCAGGATGTAATTAGGCGAATTGATAAAAGAGCGTTATATGGTGTCTCAATTATTCAAATGAATACAAGGAATGGAGCAAAAAGAAGAGATGCAAATCTTTCGGTTTCTTTCAGCTATAAGAGACAGACTCGTAATTCTTAATATATACAGATATCGTTTTGAAGAAAAGAGAGAGAAGGAGACAGAAGTAGGGAGGGAAGGAAGATTAGCGCGGAAGCTTTTTTTGCGCTTCTTGTTCTTGCGGTTTATAAGGATAAAATCATCCCCCCACATTTTATTAAGGTTCTGTATTCGCAAAGTTTGTACTCTTTTTTCTTCTTCTTTTTCGTTATGAAGATCGAATAATGGGGAGCAAGAAAGTCTGGTTAAAGCAGAGACAAGCCGAGCGAGCGTATTGAAGTATTGGCTTTCGATGTGGCGAATCGGTACACTATATATACGTATACACTCGATGTTCACTCGTCTACAGAGAAAGAAAGAGAGGGAGGGATAGTGAGAGAGAGAAATACCTGCTGCAGTCGCACAGAAGTTGTAGTTGTAAACTTTTCGAAATGAACTCAATTTGACACGGAACTTGGGTTAACCCGTTAGAGCTTGTGGGCACGAATTTCCTACTATTTCGATTTTAAAGCTCTGCGTAAATTTCAATTCACGTGCGAAAAATTCAATCAAACGTAGATGAATGATGTGAAAAACTAAGTCATCGTGTACAATTGAAGAAAAATATAGAAACGTCACGAACGAGCAACAAGATGTAAATAAAAATTGCTTAATCAACGAAAGGTACGCCCTGGAAGAGACGAGCGACTTTATATATAACATAAGCTCAATAAAAACTCATTAAGATCTTGGAAACTATACCCAAAGTGAATTTCACTCTTTCTCCCGTTTCTTGTCTCTCTTTCTGCGACCGTGCTTAAACACGCGCAAGTGCAAGAGAGGGAAAATCATCCATCAAGGGCGCCAGTGAAAATCCAATGTATCAGAATGAGAGACCAGGTGACACTACAGACGGAGCTGTATATAGCACAGCGACACAAAGCAAAGTGGCAATAACGCCAGAAGGCACAGCTAGCTGCGACTACTGCTGCTGCTGCTGCTGCTGCTAGTACACAACCATACCAGTGCTACCCCTCGCGCGAAATGTACGGGGTACACGCAGTGTTGCCGACGCCAGACCGCCGCTGCCACTGCTGCACTGCTGCTGTACGTTACCGTAGTAAATAACCGAGACACGGGTAACTAATTCTATATCTGTCAAGAAGACAAAATAGTAAGAATAGTTGCGCTGCAGAAATGTTTAGTCATAATAATTCACGAATTGCAGCGCAACGTACAACAGCATTGAGAAAATGAA